TGCAGGACCAGCCGGGGCCACGACAGGCTCTCGCTTTGCAGCCCTGGCGCTTTTTACGGACTCCTCGTCCTGCACCGACGCCTTGCAAATTTCTTATTTTCTTCAATTTTCCCTCGGCCTGTGCCGCCCTTAAAATAGCGAGAGGACTACAGAGACCCTCTTCACCCTCGCGGTCGCCGGCGACAAGCCCCTGGGGTCTGCCCTCCGCCGGGCTCCTGGCCAGGCCACCTCCTTTCCGCCGCCTCCCCTTTCTTTCCCTTCCCTTGGACCTACTACTGCTCGTCGGAGAAAACGAGCCCTCCGGTTCTGAACAACGGCCCTTTCCTGTCACTGAGCTGGATTTTTCCTGAAAGGGGTGATCAGACCCACGTTTCCCAAAGTGCCTGTAGAGCGGAGGCATTAGTTAAGAGCGAAGGAAACGGGGCACGGGGCTGAGGGAGCCCAGGAGCCCCCGGCTGGAACCGAGCGGCTGCAATTCATAAAACGTGCCAGGGCTGGGGTGCAGGATTAGTGCTGCGCCTGATATAACAATGCATGTCTTAGCAGCCCGGCAGCCAGCACCTCATTTAGTTTTCATGGGAATGTATAAAGAAATGTATTGAGCAGACATGGTGGCACATTTTTTCCCCATTAAAAACTTTTCAGCTGCAGTTCAACCAGCTTAATCATGTCTTCCAGGGGCTGAAAAATGATAGCTTTTTTCTTATTTTTTAAGCAGGCAGCTGTGTGAGCAGAATTATCTCTAGAACTGAACTGATTTTCTTTTTTAACTTTCCAGCAATTGAGTTGTAGCTGAACTACCACTACAATCCATCACACTCTACCACGCATCTAAACTGGAGGCCGCAAGACAAGTCACAGGCAGCATGCACAGTCAAGTTAATTTTTCCTGTTTTGTAAGCAGAGCACCGAGCACAGCTTTGAGATCTGGAGACGAATGCTCCCAGACGCTCTATTAAAGAAACAACAACCAAAAAACCCCACAAGCAAACAAACAAAAATCCACGAAAAACCAGACAGAGCCTGTGCTGTAAAGAAAGAGCCAAAACTGCGACGGGGCTGACAGCAGATGTCAGCAGCGGTAGGAGGAAGCTGGACAGCTGGCCAGGCACGGCCATTCGGCCGGGGTGTCTGACAAATTCTCAGGAATTTGGATTCCACGAGGAACATGATGAACTGGCTCCTCTTTGACCTTACAGCAATCTCACAGCTATTTCTGCATGCAGAGCACTAGATCTCCAGATACCTTTCCCAGGCGAGAGCAAACATATCAAGAGCTGTATTTATTGTTCCTGGGAAGGGAAGGATTCTCCAGCCAGCAAGGAAAGGGGGAGAAGCGAAGGCTGCCAGTGACTGAGACAGTCTGGCCCCCGAGACATGATGCTTCCTGAATCTTTCCCTCCATCAATTGCTTGCTCTGACTGCCAGGCCTGGAGGATGGCTTAGCCCACGCTAAATCACAAGCGCTTCAGCTTCGAAAGCTTCAAGGCCGCGCTCTGGGACGAGATGAATGTGGTTGGCAAGCGGCACTGCCGACTGCTATAAAACGAGCCCCCTGCACCTTCAAGCCAAGAACAAACCTGCCTGTTCCTCAGCCAGGAGAGCTGCAATAGCTGCCATATCACAAGTGAGTCCCCTTTTAAAAAGCAGACTACGCTTAGGGATGGGGCTAAACGAGTCTGCGGCGATGGTGAGAACAGGAACTTGGAGCCTTCTACTAATGCATGAAGCAGAGCATTTATGTTTCAAGAAGCAATTACACGCTAATAGCAGGAGTGCTATGATAGAAAGCGCATCTTGTCTAAAGACTTGCCCCAACGCAAAACATGAATAATTCTTCTTAGGCGTCACTGGGAAAGCAGTATTTAATGAATGATATAAACAAAAAGTACTGGAATAAACCAGATGAGGCAAGCTTCATCTCCCTATCAGAACTGAATCGACTAAATTTATACTGCGTGGGGAGAGACACTTATACTAAGGGGCAAAGACATTTGTTACTGCTCTGTGCAAGATGAGCTCGCAAGAAAATGCATGCTTCATATTGGCAGCTTTCTGATGTCTTACTCCTAAGGCATCAGCTTTATTCTTGGTTTCCATGGCATACACTTTTCTGAGCTTGTATCTTCCACAAATGTTGCTAATTTATTCTATCAGCCATATCTTTGTAAATACCTGCAGAATACTTCCATGTGCAATAAGAGCTCTAAGAGAACAGGCATACGTTAACATGCTTCGGCTCTAGGTTTTGACTAGGGGAAATCATGCTTTGTGAAAGAAAGGCTCCTTTCTAGAGCTAAGAGATCATTGCTGATCTCCTGGCACTATTTTTTGTTCTAAGTTGTTTGAAAGTGTACTTATCTGCCCAGTGAAGCAAAGAACATTGAGCATTTCAGCCAGACGTTTTTAACACACAGGTTTTCCCCTCACCCAGCGCTTCAGGCAGCCCTTTGCCTCTGAGCAGGAGAGCAATAGCTGTGAGGTTTGTCCTTTCTACTGCTCTCCCCCTCGTATTTCATTTTGATGAGGAGTGTATAAAACATGAGGCTCTTTCACAGGCAGAAGCCCAGAAGTCAGCCACAGCAAAAAGATCCTGTTTTCAGGATGGATTTACCAGCCCTGCAAATGTTGAGCAAACACTGGTTGCAGCACGATTCTCTCAAATTCAGCAAAGTAAGAGATGGGCTGGTCTGGCAGCAGGAAGAACCCAAGGTTTTTCAAAAGTAGTTGTTTATACACTAAATCATGTAGTAGCTAACAGATACAAAAGAAATTTGGACAACAATTTAATCGGTAACCCTTACAATGAAAAGAATGCAGAACCGGTGGAAAAAAATCACGGGCCCGTGCAGGGAGAGATCCTGCAGGTAACAATGGTGCTAAACAAAGTCCCGACAATGCAGCCTCCGGAAAACTCAGTTGTTTCAGCAG